TCTTGTGTCTGAGAGATGCTGATCAGGCTGGGGAAGGTGAGGGGAATGGCCTGCTTGCCAGAGCCACAGAAGTTACTCTGTCTAGATCCTGCCCAGATCTAGGCAGGGCAGAGCCACCAGGAATCTGGGGGGGTGAAGCCACTAGGAGCCCAGAGAGTGGGGCTAGTCGATCTCCCATGAGGGTAAGTACCAGTCATGTTCATGGGAAAGTGGAGTGAATGGCCCCTGCCTCAAACCCACAGAAGTCAGTCACTGACACTCCCTGAGTCTGCCCAGACCTCTATACCCAGCCCATGCAGTTGACTACTCAGCAGGTTGCAAGCTCCTCAGGGTGGGGCAATGTGGAGTCCAGAGAGTGGGGCTGTTGCATTCCATGTGGCTGATGCCATGTGGAGGAGAGTGTTCCACCCAAGAAAATGGAGTCTGCAGTGTGGGAGAGGAACTCTTCCCAGGGAACTCTTCTGGTGGCTGTTCGTTCAGCTCTCTCCCCAGAGCTACAAAGTCCAGTCTCGCCTCATGGGACTCAAGTCTGCTTTGCCTCTCCCTCCACCAGAGCTTAGGATGAATGCCTGTGAATGAGATTTTGTGCATTGCCCTCTTAGAGGGTGTTTGTGTCTCTGGTGACCTCCTGTCTCTCCCTGAAGGACAGAAACCCCATGCTTTTCACAGCTAGAGGTTATGCTGGTGCCTCTTCCTGGCTCTGGTTCTATAGTCTGGGGAACCCCCGGCATGGAGTTGAGACTGCATGCTTCTCAGGGGAACTCCTGCTCCTGAGATATCCCTCCAGAACCTCAGCTACCACCCATGGGAATGGGGCCAGCCCATTTTTGTCTTCATCCTTCTACCAGTCTCAATGTGGCTTCTTCTGTAAGTCCTTGGTTATAAGAGTTCTTTTCATCTAGTCTTCAGTTCATTATTTAAGATGAGTGTAGCTTCCACCTACTCTAACACCATCTTGGATCTCTTCCTGGATATTTTTTTTTGGTTAGGATTCAATCTCCTTACTAGTAATTAGTCTGTTCAGATTTTCTGTGTTTTTCACGATTCAGTCTTGAAAATGTATGTTTTTAGGTATTTAGCATTTTTCTTTATAGTTGTCCACTTTGTTGGTGTATAATTGGTCATAGTGGCATTTTATGATTCTTTGTATTTCTTTGATATCAGTTGTAACTCTTGTGATTTTATTTCTCTCTCTCTTTAGTTAGTCTAGAAAAAGGTTTGTAAATTTTTTTTTTTAAAGAAGCAGCTCTTAGTTTCATTGAATTTTTTTGTCTTTATTTCCACTCTGATCTTTATTTCCTTTCTTCTACTTTGTTTTTCTTTTTCCAGTTTCTTTAGGTGTAAAGTTACACTGTTTATTTGAGATTTTTTTTGCTTCCTCAGGCAGGCCTGTATGGATTATAAAATTCCTCTTTAGTGCTGCTTTTGCTGTATTTCATAGATTTTGGTGTGTTACATTTGAATTTCCTTTTGTCTCAAGGTATTTCTAATTTCACCTTTGTTTCTTGTTGACGCATTGGTTCAGCAGCATGTTGTTTAATCTTCACATATTTTTTATTATTTCAGTTTTCTTGAAATTGCTTTCTAGTTTTATACCATTGTGGTTGGAAAAGATGCTTGATATGATTTCAGTCTTCTTAAGTTTATTAAGGCTTGTTGTGTGGCATAATATATGATCTATCCTGGAAAATGTCCCATTCTTCTGAGAAGAATACGTATTCTGGTTAGAATGTTCTGTAAATATCTACTAAGTTCATCTGCTTTAATGTGTCATTTAAGGTAGGTATTTTCAAAACTGATTTTCTATCTTGATGATCTATCCAGTCACTTAAGTGTGGTTTTAAATTCCCCTACTATTATTGTATTGTTCTTTTTTCTTTAGGTGTCTACTTAGGTGCTTCTACATTGGGTGAATAAATATTTGCAAATGTTATATTTCCTTGGTGGATTGACCCCTTTATCACTATGTAGGGTACATCTTTGTCTCTTACTACATTCTTGGTTTTAAAGTTTTTTTTGTCTGATACAAATGTAGCTCTTCCAGCTTGCTTTTAGTTTCCATTTGCATGAAGCATCTTTTTCCATACCTTCACTTTCAGTCTCTGTATATCCTTACAGCTGAAGTGAATCTCTTATAGGCAGCATATATTGGGTCTTAATACTTTACTTTCAGCTACTCTGTGTCTTTTGATTGGAAATTTATTGCAATTATATTTAAAGTAATTGGTGATAATGATATGTATTTATTGCCAGTTTGCTCATTGCTTTCTGGCTGTTTTGTAGTTCCTCTCTTTCCTTTGTTTTTCTTTCTCCTTCATTTGTGGCTTGATGAGCTTTTATAGTGTTGCGCTTAGTTTCCTTCTTCAGTATCTTTTTTTGTTTCACCTATAGGCTTTTGCTTTGTGGTTACCATGGGGCTTACATTTAACAGCCTATATATATAACAGTCTATTTTAAGTTGTTAGGAAAGTAAGTTTGAACTCATTCTAAATATCTCCATTTTTATCTCTCTCACATTTTGTTTTTGATGTCACATTTTACGTCTTTATTTTGTGTATTTATTAACTAATTATTACAGTTTTAGTTATTTTTACTGCTCTTGCCATTTAACCTTCATATTAGCTTTATAAGTTATTTATCTATCTTCACAGTATACTTTTATCTGTGAGATTTTTTACTGTGAGTTTTCTTGTTACTAATTAGTGCCCTTTCTTTTCTGCTTAAAATTTACATTTCTTGTAAGGCTGAGTTAGTTTTGATGACCTCCTTTAGTTTTTTTGTGTTTTTTAAAAAAATATATCTTTATTGATTTCAGAGAGAGGAAAGGAGAGAGACAGACAGACAGAAACATCAATGATAAGAGAGTCATTGGGGATTGAGCCCGCAACCCGGGCATGTGCCCTGACCAGGAATCGAACCCCGATCGCCTGGATCCTAGATTGACGCTCAACCGCTGAGCCACGCCCGGCCTGGCTCCGTTTGCTTTTTTTTCTCTGGAACCCTCTGTCTCCAATTCTGATTGGCAACCTTGCCAGGCAGAGTATTCCTGGTTGGAAGGGTATTTTCCCTCTCAGTGCTTTGAATCAATCACGTCACTTCCTTCTGACCTGCAAAGTTTTTGCTGAGAAATCTGCTGATAGTCCTATAGGGGCTCCCTTATACTTAATAAGTTGTTTTTCTCTGTCAGCTTTTAAGATTCTCCCATTGTTGTCAACTTTAGACATTTAATTATGTATCTTGTTGGTCTCTTTGGTTTCATTTTGTTTCATATTCTCTGACTTCTTTGATCTGCATGTCATGTTTGCTTCCCCAGTTTGGGGAAGTTTTCAGCCATTATTCAAATAAGTTTTCTGACCCTTTCTCTCTCTCTTCTCCAACTGGGACTCCTATAATATGAATATTATTTCACTTGATGTTTTCTACTTTTTTGTTACTATTTGATAATTCTCACCCAAGGATATTTTTTCCATTGCTTTTCAGAGAGCGTGGTGAAGGGGGGGAGAGAAAACCATTGATGTGAAAGACACATGGACTGGTTGCCTCCCACACATGCCCCAACTAGGGGCGTGGAACAAATCCACAACCTAGGTACATGCCATTGACCAGGAATCGATCCCACGACCCTTCAGTACGCAGGCCGATGCCTCCAACCACTGACCCACATGGGCCAGGGCATGATGTTTTCTGATAGGCCCCCTGTGTCATCTTCCATTTTTAAAATTCCTTTTTTTTTTGCCGCTCTGTTGTGGTGAGTTCTTCTGCCCTGTTTTCTAGGTCACTGGTTCTCTTCTGCTTCGTCTAGTCTACTGTTGCACCCCTCACTGTATTTTTTAGCTTAATTTTTTATCCTTCAGAGCTGACCTGTTTGCTACATGTATTTTCTTTTTGTTGAAGTTTGTGCTGTGTTTGCACATTTTTCTCCCAAGTTTGGTAAGCATCTTTGTGATCATTACATTAAAATCTTAATCAGATAAGTTACTTATTTTCGTTTTATTGTGTTTTTTACTGGGGTTTTATTGTTCCCTTTTATCTGGAACATATTCCTTTGTGTCCTCTTTTGCTTACCTGTCTTATTTGTTATCATTATATTAGGTGAAACAGCTCTCTCCCCCAGTCTTGAAGGTATGGCCGTGTGTAGGAGATGAACCTTATTGTTTCGCCGTTCCCTGACTCTGGGTTGTCCCCTGAGCCTGGGATTGCCTAACCATTCTGGCTTATTCTTGATAGGTCCTAGTTGTTGAGGGGCTGCCAAGACCTGTAAGTGTTGCAGAGAGTGGGATCTGTCATTGCGTAGTTTCAGGCTGATTGGAATCTAGACCCTCAGGTAGCAGCTTTCATAGTATGCAAATATATACAGTCCTGTGGGACTGCAGTGGTAAGCCCTGCTGGCTTCCAGACCAGATGAGTTAGAGGTGTCTTCCTCGGTAATAGTCGGAAAAAATTGAGGGCTCCAGACAAGTGCTTGAACTCCTTTCTGGGTGGTCCTGGCAAGCTGTAGCTCGTCCAGGGGAGGGCACAAAGGTGGCTTCCCCTGACCTGTGCTCTGTGTGAGCACTTCCTTAGCCTCTAAGTGCATCGTCCATCTGAACCTTCCTCTCGGGCTGAAGTTGCAGGACAAGTAAATGGGCCTTTTTCACAGGGAGACTGGGGGTATATTTCAGTCTGCTGCCTGTGCCGTGCCCTGTGGGTGGCAGCCTGCCAAGAACTCTCTGTAATTGTTTCAGATCCAAGGGGTCCAGAAACACAATTCCTCCTGGCTACAAAAGCCAGGTGCCTCAGGGCCAGATGTCCCTCGTGTGGGCTGTGCGGGCTAGCTGGGAGTGGTACAGGTGCCAGGTTTGCGCACTGGTGTTAGCAGGTTAGAGGCAGAAGGCAAAAATGGTGCCTGCCAACACTATCAAAGTAGAGGGAGGAGACAAAATGCCTCCCGCCAGCGCCTTTGTTCCCAGAGAGGGTCCCAGTGGCCTCCTGCCCTCCAGCAGGTGCTTTAAAATCAGTAAGCGGTCTTTCACATATGGCATAGATTCTTTTGAAACCACTGCTCTTGTACTGGGTCCCAGGGCAGGTGAGTGTGTTAGTTACAGCAGTTATGGCTCTCCTGGATGCAAAAGCCTGTTGTTTCAAAGCCAAATAGTTTAAGGGCTCATCTCTCCTGTGCAGGTTCCAAGGGTTGGGGTGCTTGATATGGGGCACAAACCCTTGCTCCACAGGCAGAAGCTCCATATTTGTGGGCTGTCTCCTGACTGTGAGTCACCACGCCAGGAGTGGGGTCTTAGCGAGACTGGGTCTTCTGCCTCTGGTACAGGACTTGATGTGGCCCTTTTATCCTTTCCTTGAAGGAGGTTCAGCTGGTTTTCAGAGCAAATTGTTCCATATGTAGCTGTAATGTGTCGTGTCTGGGAGGAGGTAAGTTCAGATCTTCCTACACAGTCTTGAACCAACTCTCTGTGCTTTTTAAACTGGAATGAGAACCACAAGTACGAATGTAATCTTAAGGAATTTACCAGTAACAGGGTTCTTGGGCAGTCAGAGTTACCTCTAAAATAGGTGCAGAGGTTGAATTTTCCTCTTGGCTCTGCCTTACTAGTTATTCTAAATGGTTCTGCTTCTCAGGTTGGTGAGGAGGTCAGGGGACAGGTGAGCCTGAGTTAATGTTTTGGTTAGAAAGTCAAGCACAAACATTGAAATCATTGTTGCCCTGGTTTTATTTTTCTGACTGATTGTGTGGTGAGACTGATTCAACCACCATCTCAACACTGGCCAGGTAAGAATGTACCTGGAGATAATGTTGTCTTGGCAGGCTTGTCACTTTGAGCAAAGTGGCCCCCAGGAAATAACTTTGAAAGGTCGTGATTATATTTTTCAGGGAAAGAAATGGGGACCGTGCTCTTCTAGACATCAGAGTAAGCGGCCTAACTGTCCTTACTTTGACTACGTGCCCCTTTTAAATTTCACCTTCATATCTTTAAGCATTCTTTCTGTAGATAGCAAATAACGATAACTTAATTCTAAGAAAAGCTTCTTTACTGACTCCCTTTAAAGACTAAGATTGGAGTCTGAAGTGACATAAAGTAGTGACTAAAGAATTAACCTGGGGATGTAAGAGAATATTTATTATTTAATTCATACTTCATCCCACTGGCCGGGCTTGTGACTCAGTATTGGGTCTGGAGTGCTGGGTATGAGAGGACAAGGGGACTTGGGCAAGTGTGAGGGCTGCACACAGCATTGCTGAGGTCTACTCTGCTGCCCTCCACAGAAGGGTTTGGAGTGACAGGAAGTCACCTCCCAGAGACAGTGTCTGCCTGTCCCGCCTCCAGCAGGATTGCTGTGCTGCGGGCAGAGCACACCTTGTGCCGCAGCCACCGAGGCACTCACTGTGGTGGGGTGTGCTGAAGACCAGCCCTGTCCTATGGGGTGGTCACTTCGCAGGGCATGTAAATGCCTAGTCACTATGTTGTACACCTGAAACTCATATAATATTTTGTCCACTGTAATTGAAAAATAAGTTAAAAAAGAAAAAAGGTGGGCCCTGCCTGGTAGACAGGAAGCGCCCGGGTGCACAGAGCTGATGGGAGGCTGGGTTTCCAGCCCATTGCCACTCAGGCTTTCCCACCTGCCTGCCTCAGTGTTTGTTGTCTGCCAGGAGAACTTGAACTTTCCAGAGTCCAGAAGCTCCAGTAGGGGAATGTGTCTGCATCATAAACGGAAGCACTGCTCCACCTCCAACCTCGTGGGCCTTTCAGTGAGGAGCACCTGCCCAGGGCCCCTGTCCAACGGCCTGGCATTCTGTTCCCTTCTGCAGCTCCTGGGGAAATGCATTCTGTGGCCCAGCCGGGGATATGCAGGAGATGGAGACAGTGCCCCTGGCCCAGCACCTCTCCAATTAAGATAGTAACAGTCAAGTCTATTTCGTGGACTTTACTTAAAGCACTTTAACTTGCTGACCAGCTATTTCAAGCCAGAATTTGCCCGTGTGGCTGGCTACTTTGGTCAGCAAGGTGTTTAAAATTAAATTAATGTAAGTGCAGACACGAGTTATCCCATGACTGTCAGCAAGGTGTTTAAGAAAGGCTGTTTCCAATCTGCACTTAGCAACTCTCATTTTACATCTTATGTACGTTTTATGCTGTCCTTCTCCTGAAATATCAGTGTCAGTTAGTACCCGTGACCCCTTTACCTGGGGCCAAAGACATTGAAAGATAAGATGAGGTTCCAGAGAAACTCTGAGAGACAGAAAGTGCTGGTGCGTAATGGTTATGCCCAGGGGCAAGCGTTGGGAAGAAGAATGGGCTTTGTTGAGGTCCTTTCTTACCTCCCCCGAGGTGTGTTCCACGTTGGGTCTGCAGCTGCTTTCTAGCGCTGTCACCCCCCTCCTTTTGTGTTCAGCTTTGGCTGCTGGTGTCCTACACATTCTTCAGTTCCCCTTTTTGGGGTGGAATCCCAAGGCATAGCCTTAGCTTGATTCCAAACGAGGAGTAGGTGAGCTTTTTCTTGAATTCAAATTAGCCACTGATTGCTTGGTTCCTGCCACACTACTTGGAGTAGAGAGAAGGTGTGAACAGTACCAGTGCTCAGTTTGGCCCTTGTTTTGATGACAGGCAGAGAAAATACTCATGTCAGATATTTGACATTTTATTCTTTAATCTCTTGTATCATACAGCTTCACCCAGAAATACCCACCAGTGAAGTTTTTATCCGAAAAGGATCGTAAAAGAATTTTGGTAAGTTTGCATATGTGATTCATATTTGTAGCATTAAGAAGCTTGCTTTCTAAATCAGTTTAATTTACACACCATAAAATTCAACCTTACAGAATATACAATTTGAGTGGTTTATAGTATATTCACAAAGCTGTAAACAGCACCACATTCTAATTCTAGCATATTTCATCACCCCAAAGAAAATCCCCCCTGCCCATTTAGCAGTCATTTTCTATCTCCCTCTACCCCCCCGCTCCTGGCAACCACTCAGACCGCTTCCTGTCTCTATGGATTTTCCTGTTCGGGACATTTCATATGAACTAAACCATACAATATGTGGTCATTAGTATCTGATTTCTTAAACTTAGAATAATTTTTCCAAGGTGCATTCATGCTGTAGCATGAATCAGTACTTCATTCCTCCTTATGGCTGAACAACATTCCACTGTATGGATGAGCCACATTTTGTTTATCCATTTATCAATGGATGGCATTTGGGGTTTCTGCTTTGAATAATGCCTCTATGAACATGACATGTACAGGTTTTTGTGGACATAGGTTTTCATTCTTTTCGGAATATACCTAAGAGTGGAATTGCTGGGTGTATCACCTTTTGGGGAAATGTGAAACTTTCCCAGAGCAGTGGTTTTTTAAAACCTTTTCCAGTTCACAGACCACTTGAATAACTCCATGGGGGTCTCCTTGGCTAGTAGTCTTATTGTTAAACATCAATACATATTCACCAATGAAAGAATTCCATTAAACCACTGTGTAGCTAAGTGTGTCCACAGATTGGCACCATTGTTTTTTAAAAAAAAGAACAGCTTTATTGAGATATAATTTACATACCATATAATTCACCCTTTAAAGTGTACAATTCAATAGTTATTAGTATATTCACAGTCATGCATTCATATCAATATTAGAACATTTCATAACTAAAAAGAAACCTTGTACCTGTTAGCCGTCACCCTCCATTTAACCCCCACCCCAAGCCCTAGGCAGCCAGTAGTCAGCTTTCTGTCTGCATAGATTTGCCAGTTCTGGATATTTGTCATGTAGGTGGAATAATGCAATATTTGTCCCTTTGGGACGGGCTTCTTTCACTTGGCATGTTTTTAAGATTCATTCATGTTGTAGCATGTGTCAGTACCTCATGTTTTTATTACCAGATACTGTTGCATTGTATGGATATACCACATTTTATTTATCCATTTGTCACGAGTCATACAGTAGCTCCACGCTTAATCTTTTGAGGAATTGCCAGGCTGTTTGCCAGAGCGACTGCAGCTTTTTACATTCCATCAGCAGGTTCCTCTGATCCTGGCCGACACTTGTTTTTGTCTGTTCTTTGTGGCCCTCCTAGTAGGTATGATACAGTATCTGACGGTTTTCATTTGCATTACCCTGATGGCTGATGATCTTGAGCATCTTTTTATTTGCTTATTGGCCATTTCTGTGTCTTCTGTGGAGAAATGTCTGTTCAGATACTTAATTGGGTTTTTCTTTTCATTATTGAGTTGCAAGAGTTCTTCATTCTAGATACAAGTTCCTGTTCATATATATACATATATATATATATACACACACACACACATATACATACATATATATGTATATATACACACACACACACACACACATAACTCTGTGTATGTGTGTGTATATATATACACACACACACACACACATATATATATAATTGGCAAGTATTTTCTCCCATTTAGTTCTTACATTTAGGTGTATGGCCCATTGGGAGTTAATTTTTTTATGTGGTGTTAGATAAGGGTTTTCATGCTTTTTCATGTGGTTACCCAGTTGTCTAACCCTATTGGCTGACAAGGCTAATCATGCCCCATTGAATTGTCTTGGGATCCTTGTTGTTGAAAATCAACTGACTATAAATATAGATATTTCTAGATTCCCAGTTCTACGCCATTGATCTCTGTGTTTACTTTATGCCTGTACCTCACAGTCTTGATTACTGTAGCTTTGTAGTAAGTTTTGAAATTGGAAAGTGTGAGTCCTTCAACTTTGTTTTTCTTCTTTAAGATAGTTTTGACTATTTGGAATTCCTTATAATTTATTGTGAATTTTAGGATCAGCTTGCCAGTTTCTCCAAACAAGAGTGTTGGGATTTTGATTGCATTGGCTCTATGGGTCAATTTGGGCAGTATTGCCATCTTAGCAATATTAAGCCTTCCAATCCTAACATGGGCTCTCTTTCCATTTATTTAGGTCTTCAAGAGTTTCTTTTAACCTTGTTTTGTAGTTTTCAGAATGTTTTGCACGTGTTTTGTTAGATTTATTCTAAAGTATTTATTCTTTTCACTGCTACTGTAAATGGAATTGTTTAGCTTCATTCTATATTGTGTGCTGCAAGTGTGGAAGCACAATTGACTTTGTGGTTTCCTATGTCCTGTGACCTTGCCGACCTCATTGGTTGGTTATAATACTTCTAAGTGAGCCCATGTCTGGTTTCTTTATTGTTGCTGAGGGTTTGTGTTAGCTTTGCTGTCATTTCCTTACTGCAACACAATTTTGTTTCCCACTTACCTTCTTTGTACTATTGTCGTCAAGCGTATTATATTTTTTGTTATATAGGGTCAATAATATAGTTATATACATTTTATACAATTGGGTGCTTTGTTACTGTAAAATATTAATAACACAAAATGTATTATTTCAACCATTTTTAAGTGGACAGTTCTGTAGGTTTTAAGTATGTTTACATTGTTGTACTTAGAGCTTGGTCTTTAAATCAAGTAAGAGTATATAGGAGAAGATGCAGTTATGTTGTCTATTAGAATTATTTTATTGATTCCCCTCCCTCTGCACTTTTTTCTGTGGGTTAAGTTACTGCCTGGGATCATTTGCTTTCAGCTGGAAGACTGTCCTTTAGTATTTTTTATGTGGCAGGTCTGTTTTTTTGTTGACTGACTTTTGTTTGCTTTTGAAAGTTATTTTGGTTGTATATAAGCTTCTTGGCTGATAGTTTTTTTCTGTACTTTGAATATGTTATCCCACTGCTCTCGCCTTATTTGTCACAAGAAGTCAGCTGTCAATCATTTGGGCTTCCCTGTGTTGAGGAGTCATTTTTCTTTTTTTCCTGTATTAGTTTCCTAGGGCTGCTGGAACACTTAGCAGCACTTTACTAGCTTAAAACAATAGAAGTTTAATCTCTCCCAGTTCTGAAAGCTAGACTCTGAAATTGAGGTGTAAGTAGGCAGGGCCGTGCTCCCTCTAAAAGCTCTAGGGCAGCAGTTTTCAACCATGTGCAGCGATAATTTTTAAACCATGCAATACCTGACTATGAGGGCACTGACCTCTTTTCCCTTAGATTGTCCAATAAAAAATGACAACAGCTATCCGGTGTGAATGAATCAAAATGATACCTATTTTTTTGTCAGATTGACAAAAAATATTTTTTTTTGGTGTGCTGCAGAATTTTAGTAATTAGTTTATGTGCCATGAGATGAGAAAGGCGGGAAATCTGCTCTAGGGAAAATGTTCTCTTAGCTTCTGGTGCTGCCAGTGTTCTTGAGTTCCTTGGCGTATAGACGGGTCACGCATCTGCTCTCTCATGTGATGATCTCCCTGTGTGTCTCCTGGTGGCATCAGGGCTCACCCTCCTCCTGTGTGCCTCATCCTAGCTAGTTACCTCTGCAGTGGCCCCATTTCCAAATAAGAGCACCTTCTGAGGTTCCAGGAAGGACAGGAGTTTTGCAGGGCAGTAGTAAATGCAGTAAAACAGCTTTTCAAAATTTATCATTGTGCCCTGTATGGTTTGCTCAGTGGTTAGAGCGTTGGCCCGTGGACTGAAGGGCCCCGGGTTCGATGCCAGCCAGGGGCACATACCTTGGTTGCAGGCTTGATCCCCGGCCCCAGTCTGGGTGCCACGTGGGAGGCAGTCAATCGATGTGTCTCTCACATCGCTGTTTGTTTTCCTCTCTCTCTCCCCTTTCCACTCTCTGAAAAGCAATGGAAAGATAAAAAAAACAAAAAACAAAACAAAAACTATCGTTGTGTCTGACGTTTAGCATTTTTATTTTGAGTATGATGCGTGCATTTCTTTGTTTTTATATTTATCCAATTTGGAGTATGTGGAGCTTCCTGAACGTGTAGATTAATGTGTTTCACCAGTTTTGGGGTTTTCAGCCATTATTTCTTGGACTATTTTTTGTGTTCCTCTCTCTCCTTTTCTGCTCCCTCCATTAGATGCATGTTGGTGTGCTTATCGGTGTCCTGCATTTGTCTGAGCCTCTTTCAGTTTCCTGCATTCTCTCTGCTGTTCTTTGGGTTGCATAAGCCCTCTTGATCTACAGTTTGCTGAATCTTTTTTTCTGCAATTGGATGTTGACTCCGTCTGGTGAATATTTTTGGTCCTTGTACTTGTCAACTCCAGAATTTCCATGTGCTTCTATTTTATAATTTCTTTCCTTTTTAGTTTCAGTTTACTTCTTTAAACATGGTTTCCTCCAATTCTTTAAGTGTATTTGTGATGGTTGTTTGGAAGAACTTTGTTAAATTCAATATCCGTGTCCTTACACAGGCTGTTTTTGTTGCATGGATGTTTTTCTGTGTACAAACCACGTATTCCTGTTTATTTGCAGATCTCATACTTTTGTAGCAAACTGGAAATTTTAGGTAGTATATTGTAGCAAGTCTGAATACTGTTCTCTCCCCAGGAGACTAGTTTTATTTTTGTTTGGTCCTGTATTTGTTTAGTGACTTGGCTGATCTCTCTTAGGGATGTCTGTGTCCCCTGGAGAGTGAAGCTCTGGTGGTTGCTCCTTAAAGGCCACAGATTGGGCATGGACTCTCTTAAAGGGGGATGACCCTGGTTCTAGGAGGGCCCTTGCTGACCATTTCTTTCCCTGATGTCTCTGTTAAGCTGTCTTCCTTGTGTGATATCACACCAATTGTTAGGCCCCAGTAATTGCCAATTGAATGAACTATTCTTTGAATGATGATTTAGGTTATAATTTGCTCCTCAGTCTGGTCCATTAAATTCTGGCCCTTTGCAGAGGTAGACTTTGAGGCCAGTCTTTGAGGTTTGTTCTGACCCCAGGAGTGCTCTTAGGTGTCTCTTTCCCTGGGTCTCCCGCTGAGCTTGCTGGTTTATGGTTTAGCTTGTTGTCCTCACAGAGCTCCCCAGCTCCTTTGAACTTCCCTACACTCTTTCACATAAGGTTGATTTGGGGGGCAGAGCTTTGGAGTGCTCTGTGTGTATTGACTGCCTCTGCCCTCGGGGAAGTCTCAGCTGCTGCTCTGGAGCTGGGGAGGGAGTGGCCCTGCTGCTCTACAGGCAAGAGCTGGGCAGGGGCAGCAGCCCCGGGTCTTCTCGCCTGGCCTCTCAGCCTGGGACCTCCACCTATGAGCAAACTGGGACAGTCTCAGCCTGGCCAGTGTGGTTCAGTGGTTGAGCATTGACCTATGAACCAGGAGGTCACAGTTCAGGGGTCGTACAGGAGGCAGCTGACCAGTGGCTCTCTCATCATTGATGTTTCTCTCTCCCTTACAGTCTCTGAAATATATGTAGGGGTGTGTGTGTACGTATACACACGCGCACACGCACACGCACACATATATAAAGAATGGCCAGTCTCATTAGTCATAGCCTGCTGTGCCTGGGGTGTGCGGTTGGACCTGGGAGGAGGAAGGGAGCTATTAACCACCTGGCTCACTAGCCAGGAATTTGGCCTCCGCAGCTCACAGCTGGAGGTGGTGAGAGGTGCTGGTGGCCGCCCCCCTGATGAGATTTCCTCTCTTGACTGGAGCCCCGTGTCTTGGCCATGCCTACCACTCTCCCCTGTGAACTGTGAGGGAAGAGGGTAGAGGGGTGGGGGGTGAGCAATGGTGTAATTGTCAGAGAGCCTTACTGAGTTTTAATGGAGTTTTGTGCATCAATGTGGGCAATTTCTAGAGACTTTAAATGGTTAGGTGGGTTTTTTTTTAATCCTCCTCCGAGGATGTTTATTGATTTTTTTAGAGAGAGGGCGGGAAGGAGAGAGAAAAATTCATCTGAGAGGGAAACATTGATTGGTGGGTTGCCTCCCCTACGTATCGTAACTGGAGATCAAACCCACAGCCTAGGGTATGTGCTCTGACTGGGACTCGAACGTGCAGCCTTTTGTTGCTTGGACAATGCCCAACCAGTTGAGCCGCCCAGCCAGGGCTAATTGATGGTGGTTGTTTTCGTTTTTTTTATCAATAAGGAAATAGTGACTCTAAATGACACACTAGATCAGATGGATTTAATTGACTTTCCACTCTAAAGCTGCAGAATATGCACATGGGACATTCTCAAAGACAGGCCACATCTTAGGACACAAAACAAGTCTCAACACATTCAAGAAGATTGAAATCAAATCAAGCATCTCCTTGGACATTTACACCATGGAATACTATGCAGCTGTAAAAACGAAGGATCCCTTACCTTCTGAGACAGCGTGGTGGGACCTGGAGAGTGTTATGCTAAGTGAAATAAGCCATTCAGAGAAAGACAGGTGCCACAAGATCTTACTCATATGTGGAATCTAATGAACAAGATAGACTGAGGAACAAAATAGATTCAGAGACACAGAAGCATGGGACAGATTGACGAATCTCAGTGGGAAGGCAGGGGTGGGTGGGGAGAGATTAACCTAAGAATTTTTGTGCATATATGCATAACCCACAGACACAGACAATCGGGTGGTAAAGGCTTGGGGGGAGGGGCAGGTGGGAGGGGATCAATGGGGGAAAAAGAGAGACATTTGTAATACTTTCAACAATAAAGATAAATTAAAAAAATAAAACAGCTATAAAATAAATAAAAATACACAACTGTAATAAAAAAACAAATGTTGGTGGTTTTTTAAATTAATTTTCACCAGTTATGGTTGTTTGCTGGGGAACACATCTGCGGAGCACCTCACACACCATTCTGTAAATTTTTTATCTGAGACCTTGGTATACGAATGGTTAGGACACAAGCTTGTGTTTTGTCTTTCTACTCCATCTCGGTCAGGGGTGGGGAACGTCTGGCACACCTGGGATTAGGCGTCAGGTTTTATTTCAACAGGACTTCATGGCAAATTAACTGTTTTAAAAGTATAGACATAGGTGTTTATGTACTTTTTGTTTTAGGTAAAAAGAATACTTTTTTCCTACTGGGAATTTTTGGAAGAGGAGCATGAGGTGAATGCAAGTTTTGCTGGAGAGAAGGCAGAGTGGAGAACAGGACAAAGTAGGACATAGGAGAGTCACGTCACACGTCTGTTTTCTGAGTTTATTCTTTACACTCCCACCTGGATTTATCTAGCCTCCCCCAGTTATACCACTTCATTTGAATAGAGTCTTTTTATTAGTTAAATCAATTTTTTGAATGTAACTTTCACATTGTTGTGGTTTAAGTTTTAGAGCACGAGGTGGCTGCTCTACGGCCATCACAGGCCTCACGGCTGCGCCATTTCACCGTTCGCCTTCCTGCTCCGATGCTACCCGGACAGCGTTTAGGGCTTTGGTCGGCAAACAGCATCTATTACTTATTCATTTGTTCTTATGAATAATTTGAAAGATGGTAGTTTTTCATGAGGTTCTTGAGTCCATTTTAAATACCACTTTTTTTTTTTGCTAGTTCACCAGATCTCTGAATTTTGTTAATCTCTTAAAAAAAGAGAAGTAATTAAAAAACTTGACAGGAATCGTATTAGAACCATATAAGTGATGGTCAGCATCTCACACATTATAAAACAAGAACTTTTGTTGTGTATTTTAAAATCGAGATATATTTGACATACAACATTGTGTAAATTAAGATGTACAATCTGTTGACTTGATATATTTATATTGTATTATGGTTCCCATTGTAGCATTAGCTTACACCTCTACCTTGTCTCATAATTACCATTTCGTCTAGCCTTGGGAACAATTAAGATCAGGTCTCTTAGCCAGGTTAGTATTTATATTACAGTTCTGTTGTCTGTAATCACAGGACTTATGTACCTAGTGGTTGCAAGTTTGTACCCTAAACAACATCTCCCATCCCAGCTCCCCAGCCCCTGGTAGCCACCCCTGTGCTCTGCTTTTACCTCTAGATTCCATACAGAAGTGAGAGCAGCATTTGTCTTTCTCTGCCAGGCTCACTCAGGTGTGTCCGCGTGTCACCTGTCAGGACTTCTCTCGGGCTGAGTGTATTCCACTGTGTATATACAGCCCACGTCTTAGTGCGTCCAGCCATCCCGACGCTCAGCTCTGTATCTGGGCTGTCGTGAATAATGCTTCAGCAGGAACCTTTTATGAGTGTAAAATTTTCTGTCCAAGAAGGAGACATTTTGAAACGTGTAACTACTAATTTTCGGTCTTCCTTACTGGGTGGCAGTTTCAGTTTTGGGCTGTTTAGAAGCTGGCTGATGGTGTAGCCTCTCGCTCTGGAGTAAGCAGTAAGGATGCCGCTCTGAAGCCCCTGCCACCTTCCTCCCTCCCCGTGGGCTAAGTACGTTCTTGGTTGTGGCTGCCCCAGAAACATGTCTTCTGGAGGTTGACTGTCAGCGTGTTCTCTTGTGCTTTCTCCGGGCGTGTTCCACACACTGCCCTGATGCAGATAACTGGAGGAGCGGGGTTCGTGGGCTCCCATCTCACCGACAAACTCATGATGGACGGCCACGAGGTGACTGTGGTGGACAACTTCTTCACGGGCAGGAAGAGAAACGTGGAGCACTGGATCGGCCACGAGAACTTTGAGCTGATCAACCATGATGTGGTGGAGCCCCTCTACATCGAAGGTGAGTGACCCCGCAATGCTGTCGCTGGAGCCTGCGGGTGTGAGTTCACCAGAGTGCCAACCCCCAGGGCCCGCCTTCCGACTCAGCCAGTCCAGTTTGTGCTACGTTTTGCGCTGGATCGGTCTTCCTGTGTACAGGGCACTAGTCTAGCTCCTGTGATAGAGTGGTCATGCCAGTGTGAGTGTCTGACTTCACTGGCCCATGGCCCCCGGTTTTGAACTTCATGGTCTATTGCAGTGGGTGCTGCTGTGGAAGGACAACTGGCTTTAAAATAGGGCGATTTCCTCGGATTACCTGGGTGGGCCACCCAGTAAGGTAGTCCCAGGAGCTCCTAGGAGCGGCAGAGGAAGCCGGAGAGCCTGTTTCTCATCCGCTCAGCCTTAGCGTTGGGTTCTCCCATGCTCTTGGTAATCCCCCATCCTGTTCTCGTCCCCTGTAAGAGTGAAGACTCTTTCTGCCCCCACAGTGCCATGGACTCCAAACTCCTTATGTGAGGAATGCATCATCTGACACCCCCAGGTGGGTATGGTGGTGCTTTGCAAAGGTAATAATCCCTTCCCTCCCTCCATGAGGTGCAGGATGACTGAACCAGTGAGTTTGGTTTCCCGTGCCCGCTCCCTTTTCCTCAGTGCTGCACCGTCACACAAAGGGCCCCCTTGACTCACACATGTTGCCTTGTGTGTATAGTGCCCGTCCTATTTGACGCACACTTCTGTTTAGTTCCTTTTACTGAGTTTTTAGCCTGTGCTCTCCTCAGTAGACTCCATGTGGTGTAGTCTGAAGTCCATTCTTTTAGCAGCAATGAGCAGGTTAATATGTACTGTTGATGTCATCAGTCATTTCCCTCCTCTGCCTGGTAACAGTGCATAAGAGATGGTAGCCCACACTTGAATACATAACTCTATTTTTAGTTTCTTTTTTCCTACTAAAAGAAACTTTACTTGATCTAATATTTACACCATAGCAGGAATGTGCTTCGGCTTTGAAAAATGTCTTGTGGAACTTACTTGGGTGTGTTTGCTCTGCGGGGGCCAGCAAGTTGTTTGGATCTTACTGAGGTAGCAGTGGTGTCACCCATTGTGGCAGCATTCTAGCAGAACGCCCCCCGCACAGATCCTCCCCATTGTTTTCAGACTCTAGCCGTCATGTGTCAGAAGCAAAGACAGGAGCGCTGTGATTCTAACCTCACCGTTCCAGTGGGCCATCAGCTATTGTCTGACTTAGATGTGGTCGAATTCGAACAGTAGGATGTGGCTGCAGGGCACTTAGCTCCAGGTTGAGAAGGGGGCTGTAGAACTCAGGGATACGAGGTGGTGATAAACTGCAGAATCACGAGAATGAAAAAAAGAAGAGGTGCTGTTGTTATAGGTGTTAGGATGGAGGCCTCTGTACTGTGTGGGTTAGATTGTAGAGAAAACAATATGATTCCTTTAGAAGGAATTGTCAGTACTCATTGAAATAGCTTAACCTGATTACATATTGCTTTGAAATGGATTTTAAAACTGGTTTCACCAACCAAGGCATGCCAGTTTCAGATGTTGAATCCACCCTGTAAAATTCTTAGCTCTGGGAAGAGTAAAGTTAATTATCCATCCAAGCCCTCTCTTCAGGACACGAGGAGTTTTCTGAGAAGTGAGGGTCAGGGTAGCAGGTTGTGTTTTGGTTTTATGTGGGAGAGGCCAGGCCATTAAGAAGATGACAGTGGGGCTGCAGTATTGAGTCAGCTCCTTGTCCACCTTGGGGGCATGGAGGGTGAGATCGGTGCTGAGTGCTCTGCAGAGAAGCAAAGAGCCCTGTACTCTTGGAGGCGAGGATGGGGAAGCACAGGACACTGGTCAGTGACTGTGGAGGGCTTTTCAGAACAGATCAGACACTACTGAAGGGAGATGGAAGTACCCATTCAGTAAGAAGTCCACACAGTAGATACAGTATAAGAGGGAGGAAGGACATAAGGTCGTGGGCCTGGCCTGCAAGGAACTTGGAAAGCATCACTCCAATCCTCACAGCAGGAAAAAGGCTGAACAGACTGAAATTCAACAACTTTTGTCCGCTTCATTAGAGAACTGAGGTTACAGAGCAAGTTGCCACCTGAAAACCGGAGTCACAGGTCAGGCACAGGGTCTGATAGCACTTTATAGAGAATTGACTAATTCTACTGAATATAGACAAGCTTGACAGTTAAAATCTCCAGAACTCCAGTTTTGAGGGGTGGGTGGCACACTTTTGTGAGTTTCGCCTCCAGGAGCCCCTCTAGGCTATACTGAAGATCAGAGAAAAATCTGCAGGGAGAGGGGAAAGTAAACATTTGAAGTACACCCAGGGCACCTCTTCTCCCTAACAAAGGCCTGCCCTTAAGGGAAACTGTTTTTTCAGAACCTAACTGATGTGAGGGAAGGGAACTACTCAGCTCAGTCACACTAAAAGACGGAGACCTTATCATAGGACTGCAGAGTGCTGCTTCTCCTTCCCACAGTGATTTACCACCATGTCAGTGATACTCAGGCCCTATTTAAGAAGGAGTCTCTAGGGAAACCCAAAGACAACAGGAATGACAAAAACAAGAACTAGAAGAAATTTTAGCCTCTGACACCTGGAGCTGAAGCAGGCAGTGAACACAGTCTGACTCCTGGCCAGATGAACATAAGATATCACATTAAAGACCTGCTTATCTGTTTCTTTCACTCGATACATCATTTCTGCCTCTCAATGAAAAATTACAAGGCATGCTAAAAGGCAAGGAACACATTCTAAAGAGACAAAACAAATATCCGAACCAGAACAGATATGACAGAAATTTTGGAATTACCAGACCAGAAGTTTAGAATAACTGATTAACATGCCAAGGACTGTAATGGGAAAAAAGTGGGCTGTACTCAAGAACAAATGTGTAATGAAAGCAGAAAGGTGGAAACTAAGAAAGAATTAAAAGGAAAATGCCTGAAATAAAAGCACTGTAGCAGAATGAAGAATGCCTTTGAGGGGCTCATTAGTACATTGGACAAAGCTGGGGAAGGGTCAGTAAAAACTTCTTAACTGAAAGAGAGTAAATAAAAATACAGACCAGAACAGAATATTAGCAAATGGGGACAGCTGCAGAAGGTGTGGCATATGCATTGTGAGAATTCCAGAGAAAAAAGAAAGGAACAAAATAGATACATGAAGTGATAAGTGGCTGAGAATTTTCTGAAATTAAAGATAAGCACCGAGCCACAGATCAAGGACTCTCAGAGAAGACCAAGCAGGATAAATACCCCCAATCTGCACCTAGCCATATCCCATTCAAACTGTAGAAGATTAAAGGGAGACAACATCTTGAGAGAAGCTGAGGGAAAAACACACTTTACCTATAGAAGAACCAGCATAAAGATGATACCAGACCTCTCTTCAGAAACCATGCAAACCTGAAGAATAAAGAGTGAAATGTTTAAAGAGTTGAAAGAAAACCCCATCAACCTAGAATTCTAGGTTGTCCAGTGAAATTATTCTTCAGGNGTTGAAAGAAAACCCCATCAACCTAGAATTCTAGGTTGTCCAGTGAAATTCTTCAGANAGAGTGAAATGTTTAAAGAGTTGAAAGAAAACCCCATCAACCTAGAATTCTAGGTTGTCCAGTGAAATTATTCTTCAGGTGGATGGAGAAATAAAGACTTCCTCAGGCAGAAGTTGATGGAATTTGTCCCTGTGTCATAAGAAGTGTTAAACGAAGATCTTTACAGGGTAGGAAAATGATGTAGGTCAGGAACTTGGATCTGTGTAATGAAAGGAAGAATTTTAAGACGGAATAAGTGATAGTAAATGTTAAACAAAAACCTTGGGAGCTAAAAGTTGCCCTGAAAGAAAGGGTTTTTTGAGCCATATGCTAGCCAGAAAAGGACCACATCCAGGGGCATGCAGCCTAAACCACCAGCAGGAGGCGAGATGAGAAGACAGTCTGCCATCCTGGGGCTGACAGGGCTCTTTTATATACAGTGAGTTTGGAGAAGAAAAATGGTAAGTTGTTTTGAAAGAGCTTATATTGACTATACATAAAGCAGGCAGGAGAAGGTGAAATCCTGGGATAGGTGAATTGCCTGTAAGGAAGAAGCATTTCCTACTTCTGGATTGATTGTAGGCAGCAGTCCAACATGTTCATATGTAAGTGAGATGTGGGGGCATCTGGTGGTTGGCTGTTCTCTGGATAATTTCTGAAATAGCCACCTGGGGTTGATTCACAGTTTCGACATACAGTATGTAAACAATCATCCCCAGCTATTAAATGATTAACTGGCCTTGTCTCTTCTGCTCATCCTCCTGGAATTTAATTTAGGACATCGCAGAATGTGTCTCTTGTTATAAAAGAAAAACATTTATTTTTCTTATCTTTAATTGATCTAACAGATAACAGTATCTTCAGAGTAGTAATAGCAACCAATATATTGGGTGATTACTGCTTTAGGATAAATGAAATGGATGACAGCAGTATTATAAGGGACAAAAGGAAGAATTGGGAATACAGTTATATGAGGTACCCACTACCTGTGAAGCAGTATAGTGTTATTTGAAAGTGGATGTAAGGTAGTTGCATTATAAATTCTAGGGCAGCAACTAAAAAAAGTTTTAAGAATAATTAATATGCTAAAAGAGGAGAGAGAATGGGATTATATACACTGCTCAATTAAAATGAGAGAAGGCATGAAAACAGTGGAAGGCAAAGAAATAAAGAACAGGGGACATAAATAGAAAATAGTTAGAAATTTGGTAGATAGTAATCTGAGTATATTTATAATCACTTTAAATATGAATGGTCTAAATACACCAATTTTTTTAAAAAAAGACTTTAATAGTGTCAAAAAAAAACAAGATCCATTTACGGTTGACCCTTGAACAACACAAGTTTGAACTACAGCTGTCTGTTTATACATGGATTTTTTTCAATAAGTAGTGTAAATGTATTTTTCTTACAATTTTCTTAACATTTTCTTCTTTTAAGCTTACTATATTATAAGAATACAGTATATGCC